CCGGTTGAAGACTAAGATTTGAGAGATGATAAATCTGAGTTTTAAACTCCTCTTTTCTTCCCTTGTTTTGGTCACCACTTGCATGAAAGGGAAATATATAAATTGTTGTAATTTCTTCCCATGGTTCTGTTTTGGGACGCTGCTTTTATGTTAAGGAGCTGTGCATTCTTGTCATTCACTTCCTCATGTTGTATAGCCGATTAAACCATGAACCTTGATGCTGACATGTCTTAAGAATTTATGCTTGGGGTTTGGAAAATGGCTCCATCAATGGTTAGATTACTCCCTTAGACTAAGATTATGTACATAGCCCTGCATATGTTAAATTTATGTAAACAGCATTCTTAAGTCTCATTAATGTCTCCTAAAATCATGTAGGACATACTATGCAAAATGATAAAACTATAAGCACATATGGATAATGAAAACCGAACCTATGTGTATAAGGAGTTGTGGATTTTGGCACCTGCGTAACTGAAAGTTTGGAGAACCCTTGTTGGTGGTTATAGAACCGTATTACATGTGTTAGAAAACTTGGCTTTGCATCGTGATAACCTTGGTAAATAAAAATTTAGGCAAAAGCAATTATGCGTTGTAATAAAAGTTCAAACATTCATCACACATTTTATCATTCCCTTTTGACCGTAGACCACACAAGATGAATATCAAAACATAACTAGTGTTCCTTCCTCTCATCCTCTCACTTCCCCTCTAAAACCGTGAGCTCCCATGAGATGAACCAACATGCAAGCCTCTACCCTTTCCCCTCTGGCTCAGATGACGCATAACTTGAAGGAGATGAAGTGCCTCCTTCGATCCTTATTCATTCCTACTGGGACCGATCCTGAGTAAGGTCCACACTACGTGCACTTGGTCCATCTCTGTTTGTAAATCTTCCCCCTGCATGCAGCGGCAACCGACCCCCTTTTTGGAGCCTATGAAGAGTAAAGGTGATACTCAGGGAGTGGAGATTATTCCCTGCAACTACCTAGAGAGAAGTTTTAGGTCACCTGTGAGTAGAGGTAAACTGAACCTTAAGCCCTTTAATTTCACCTATTCGGCCTGTATGGGCATTAATAAGAAACTGAAATTTTGTCATCCTCTTCCTTTCTTTGGTTCGGTTAGACCTTATCAAACGAGGACATGAGGTCCTCTTTCTATTCTGTATTCGATGGTAACCGTTCGATGTTGATGGCGATTCCTCTTGCATGCATATTGGTAGCTCGATTTCTTGCATAGAAGGAGGGGAGGGTACTGTTTCACTCTTGGTTGATGCCTTGGATATGTCGTGAGCATTTTGGTACGCTTTTGGAGGTAAAAGATCAAACCTCTATTCTCTCTTTCATTCTCTGTTTCAGTTGCCACATGTAGCATAGGAAATTTTATGTTGTTAGCTTTTGTCTTCCCTTCTCAGTTAATTAGGGAAACCGTAGTCTGTGGTGTTGTTGAGCCCAAAGGAATGCAATTTGGGAGCTTGGAAATGGCTCCCTATGGAATTCGTGAGACTGTCCTTGAGTTAGAAAAGGAAAATAGCCCTTGCATATGCTTAAGAATATGTAAACAGCATGTTGTATGCCTCTCTAGCGCACTTTAGTTATTGTAAATCAGGTTATGTAAACGTATAGGAAATCATGAAATGAATTCTGAATTGTAATACTTGTATTTAGGTGTGCAAATCTAGTAGGGGATGGACTTTGTTGTTTTTCTGCACTTGTAGATAATTGGTAAATAAAACTTAAATCAGAAAGCCAATAATTATTAGAAGCTCTTGTTTATGCCTTAAGAAACCGATTTAGGGGTTTGGGAAATAGTTCTCTTTACTTTGTTGAGCTGCACCCTGGAATAGAAAGATTTGTTAAGGATTACATGTGTTAATTGTTCAAAACAGCATGCTCTTAGCTTTTATAGCACACCCTAAATCTTGTAAACAAGGTCATTTAAATAATAAATGAGCAGCAGCTAATTATCGGACAAGGAACCGAACCTACATGCATGGACGAGCATGATTATCTCACTTATTATCTATTGATGAAACAAACTCTAAGCCAAAATAATTAAATTAGTACGAGAACCTTAAAACCGGATTTGATTCAAGCTTTGTAGGCATTATAACTCTTGAAGATAGCATGTTAAATAATGTATTAGCCCATGTGTTAGTGCTGAAGTTAATGTTTTGTTAAAGAAAAATCATAAGCCCCTAGTGATGATTGAGAACCGAGCATGCATGTGTGGAATACATTGGAATTTTTCAACTAAGGACAATTGGTAAATTAATATGATGGCAGAAAATTCGCTTAGTGTTTGTACAAGGAAACCGATTATACACCTAGAATTTAGGAGAATGGGAAGACTATGTAATGTATAGGGAACCTATGTAATAAATTCTGATTTGGTACACATATTTGTTTAGGTGCGCAAGGTCCTAAATCACTGGACTGTTTGATGATATTGGAATGCTTAATTTAAAAGGTTAAAGACTCGAGGTAAGTGTTTGGTGGTATTACCTAATGTGACTATTAGCTAGCGTATAGAATTGTGAATTGTTGCTAACACGTGCCTTGAATTAATGTGCTGTTATATGCTATATGTATGCTGCCTATGAATGTGACAAGATGGAAAATTCTGTTATGAGAAGTAATTGTTATGTGACAGTTTGGTACGGAAAGTACATGAAATATATGCTATTATGATGATGATCTAGTCATGCATATACACCTCATAATTCATTTGTTTCTTGTTTGTGTGTAAAGCATATCATGGCATACATGCATGAATTTCATGCTACTCATGGACTAGGATAATTATATAAATATGCCTACGTTTGAGCACGCATCATATAGGCATCCCTTCGGTACCAGGGTATGGGACACTTGGCTTCCGTCCGCATAGGCCACAGTTGGAATTCACCTTTGAGGAGCCATCATGGAATATCCACTGTGTATGTTAGTACGTGCACGACGGTGCTATGAACGTACAAGGAAATGGCGTTATATACGCACTAACATGACTATTATGAATGTACATGACCATGGCATTATTTACGCAATAAGATGATGATTAACAGTTGTACGGAATTTTACTGTTGATGCGACTGTTTTGGAATTCTGTGCCTAGTTTAATATTGTTGCATTATTGGTTTTGCTATCACACTACTGGAATTTTTCTCACCCCTTCGGGGGCTCAATTTTTATAAATTGCAGGAGGACTTAGAAGCATTTGAGGAAGTGTTTGATGACTTGATTACATGACAATTCTGTTAAGTTATGCTATTGACAACCTTGTTGTTTGCTCGCTGTCTCTATTGAGTGTATTCTGAATATTTGACCTTGATGTAGTTTCTTAAAGAATGGCTTGCCATGATGTATATTCTCTTTTGAAAAGAAGTGTAGCATGATATTTATAATTCTGGTAATTAGTTGCGAAAAGAATTGTTGTTGTACTTAAATTCGGATTTTTGAACTATTTTTGCGAGCACTTTGCGAGTTGCTGTTCTGGGGCTACAGACCTCCGAATGAGGTATAATTCATATGTACGCAAAGCCACAGTTGTGTACTTTCAGATTATATAAAGATTATGTTCAAAGCTTGTAATTCCGAATTAATATGAATTTTACAAGTCAGGAGGTTTTTAGAAAAACACACTGGATTTTTGAGTACCTTGCGAGTTCTGTTTCGTGGGGCTATTCTCCTCCGATTCGTTTATAATTTATATGTACGCGTAGTCCCGGATGTCTAGTTTCCTTGCGTCAAAGAATATTGTTTTAAGCTGTTGATCTCGATTTTACATTTTTTTTGCAAGACAGGCTGTTTTCAGGAAAATCAGAGTTGCACAGCGAAAGCCTTTTAAAAATATATTTGTTGTTTTTACTTTTCAAAGTCAGTTTTCTAGGCAAGATTTTATAATTGGTAATATGAAAAAAAAATTACTGAACATGAATTTTTACTCGTTAACAATTCGACTCTAATCCGCTTAGCAGACAACTCCCTTGGACGCGTACAGGGGAGGGTGTCACAATTGTGTAATGTAGTGCTCGGTTATCTGAAGTGTCAGGTTGTATGGTAGGGATTTAACTTGTTGTTGGTGTTATTGAATGTATTTGGGTTGCGGTGTGCTGTGTATTGTGCTATTATATGTCATGTTCAGTTTTTCCTTGGTTTATACACTGTAATGAAGTATTTGAATTGAATGGTTGTTGCCACTTAATTGTGCAAGAGTTGTCTGATTGTACTATGTTGCAGTCGAATTGAAGTGTTGAATTGGAAAATTGCATCATTGATTATTTGAAATTCTATCCTGAAGTGGGAACCGTGTCCCAATCTTGAAACTACTGTCGTGCATGTCATGCGGTGAGTAGGATCCGCTCGTTGCTTGGCATGACGAAAGTAGAATTAGTATTTATGAGACACGAAAACCTCCTCATGAGAGAAGTTTGAGGTGTGGTAAATTGTAATTGATTAATGCCTGTATTACGAATAAATAATGAAGTATGGGATTTGACGATTCCCAGTGTGTGATGAGATGATACTCCAGCTGTTACTAGGAATGGGTCTGGCCAACACATTCTTCGGTAACACGGTTGTAACACCCTCCCTTGTATGCATCCAAGAGAGTTGTTTGCTAAGCGGATTAGAGTGCTTTCGTGATACTTTAAATTCTGAAAAATAATCTTGATGTTGCTAATTAAAACTTATAATTGAAATTGGGTTACTTACAAAAATCAGAGTATACTTTTCAAGACTTCGTAACTTGCTGAAAATGTTATTTTCCTGGCAGACGTTGCTTTCTTGCAAAATTCGTAGAAAATCAAGTTCAACGATTCAAAAAAATATTCTATGTAATATAAAAAGAGAACGTCTGGGACTTCGCGTGCATATAAAATAATAACGAATCGGAGGTCGTTTGCCCCTCGAAACATAACTCGCAAAGTGCTCGCAAAACTGTTTAAAAATCAGCACTTAATGAATGTTCAGAAAAATGTAATTCGCAAAACGTTTTCAGAATTTTACTCAAAGCACTAACTGATCATAAAAGTCTTAAGACAGCAGTAAAATCATAGTTTAACAGTTAATCTAAACTTCTCAAAATAATACAGTCATCCATCAAATAAAATAGCAACAGCAACAAGTCCAAACAGAAGAGTTTAACAGCAAATATCCAAATAATCCATGTCCTCATATGCTTTTGCGTCCTCCTGCCATTTTATAAAAATAGCAGCCCCAAAGGGGTGAGAAAAATCTCAGTAGTGTGATAGCAAAACCAATAATGCAACAATATTAAACTAGGCACAAAATTATAAACAGTAACATCAACATTTCGTTTTTTGTTAACATATCATAGTGCGTATATAACGCCAACACTACGCTCGTAGCACCTTCGTGCACGTACTAACATATCATTAGTGCGTATATAACGCCATCATTATGCTCATAGCACCGTCGTGCGCGTACATACACAGTGGATATTCCATAATGGCTCCCTCAAAGGTGAGTTCCAACTATGACCTATGCGGACGGAAGCCAAGTGTCCTATACCCTGGTACCGAAGGGATGCCTATATGATGCGTGCTCAAACGTATGCATATTTATATAAATATTCTAATCCATGAACAGCATGAAATTCGTGCATGTATGCCATGATATGCTTCACACAAAAACAAGAAACAAATGAATTATGAGGTGTATATGCATGACTAGATCATCATCATAATAGCATATCTTTCATGTACTTTCCGTACCAAGCTGCCACACAACAGTTACTTCTCATTCATGATTTTCCATCTTGTCACATTCATAGGCAGCATATATATAGCATATAACAGCACAATAATCCAAGGCACATGTGAGCAGCAATTCACAATTCTATAGGCTAGCCAATAGTCACATTAGGTAATACCACCAAACACTTACCTTGCGTGCCCAATCACAAATCAAACAACAGCATAATAGTCCACGTTATTAGAGATTTTTGCGCACCTAGTATACCATTTCACCAAGTCAGAATTTTACAGAATTTTACCTACAATTCACAAATAGTTTCTATGCTTTCAATCCTTGTACCTTAATTAAATTATGAGGTCACAATGATAATTATTTTTCCTGCCCTTAATGCTATTCCTCCCATTGCTAGCAAATGAAATTTCCTAAGGTCTCATAAAAGCATGAGTTCGGCTTTTAGCATGACAAAATGTTTAGGATTTTATTTACGTGCTCATTTCACTAATTTCTAATCAAATAAGAATTTCCGGTGTTCACCACACACACACACACAGGTTCGGTTTTACCATGCTTTTCCCTAAACAAATTCCTGGCTTCATACTAATTCAATGACTGATTAACAGTAATAAAATCCTAAGTCTCACACCTACCGATCCGGTTTCTTTAGGTTGGAAAGGTGCTCAAGGTATTTTTGTCACAACGCCACTTCTTCTAAACCTATGATTACACTAAGAGGGTCTTTACATATGTTGCCCATGGAATTTACAGCATTAAAAACTAATTACACAATACAATCCAACAAAACAACCCCCCATTTACAAGAGGGAAATATTCCAAGCCCACAAGGTTAATCTTTACGTTACTCAAGCACATTTCAAGGCTGTTCAAATGAATAACCTCAATGGAAGAACGGCAGAAAAGTCTTACATCTTTCAACATATATATATATATATATATATATATATATATATATATATATATATATATATATATATCAACCGAATAGTGAGGGAATAACAAAAAAAAAAAAAGGAAGAATTACAAAGTCAGACTATTCCCCTAAATGCAATTACCAACAGAAGCAATAAAGGTGAATGAGAAGTTTTAGGTTCAGCCTTTAGCATAACTAGTTGCTTAGAATTTTATTTACATCACCCATTGCACTATTGTCAACAAATCAGAACTTTCCATGGTTCCCAATACATACACAAGTTCGGTTTTTAGCCAGCAATTTAGTGTTTCCTATTTCCCTTACCAAATTATGTTCACATTAATTAGGCAAGATCAATTAACTCTTTTTAACATGCTGTTGTCAATCTTTCAACACATGCAAGATCGAATAATTTTGGTCCATTTCAAGAAGTAGTCCAAGGCTGGTGGGGAGCTCCATCCCAAGCTCCAAAATAGGTTCTTTGTTTGCAGGCCACAAGGGGTCATGGGTTAACCAACTAGACCGAAACCATGGGAAGAAATGACAAGCATACCTCCTCCATAAATGATTTTAGAGGCCGAAACAGTAAGGAAGCAATGAACTAATTTTACTCTACATTACCTTATTACATGTAGCCAAGATTTTTAAATGGTTCACGGTGCAGCAACCAAAAGATGCAGCAGCTCCTTCACTCTCCCAAGATTACCATCTCAGTTGCAGACAAGGGAAACACTTATTTTAGAAACCGAAAGAAACTTTGAGAGACAAAGGGGTAAAGAAGAACGCCCTACCTCCTAAAACCGAGTTAAACAGCGCACCAAAGGAAGCACGAAACAAGGCTGGGTTTGGTCCCAATCTGCATGCAGAGAGAGAGGTCTCCGTCAACCACATAGAACACCATCGAACACGGGAATGGAGGGCATAATACCACTTCTGATTTGCAACTCAATCGAATGATACAGGGATGAAGAAGGAGGACGCTTGGATGTGGAGTTCCTTTCTTGGAACAACTCACGGTTGTGGTGTAGAAAAAGGAAGTCAGTGAGGATGATTTGGATTGTGTTGAGATTGCGAATGGAAGGAACAAGGCTCGGTTTTGTCTCCCCCTCACCGTGCGCATATAGAGGAAAGATGGAGGTTTGTGAGGCTGTGTACATTCTGTACCCAGAAACCAGTAAGGGAAAATAAGTTTATTGTTCCTTCCATTAAACGTGTAGGAGAAAAATGGGAGTGGATAAGTGTGGCTCTAGACCAATAAGAATTCATGCAGGCTGATTTCCTTTTAAGATAACCAATGGACAAGTGTAGAGAAATTTTAAGGCTGAATGGGGTTCACCTTTTAAGTTTGGGCCGAGGCCCATTATTAATGAAAGGGGTCTAATTTATCTTCCTATGAATCATAAATTTCATGTAATTACTAAGTATTTTCTAGAGTTTTATTAGGAGATGTAATTTAAAATTAAACCTATTCCACACTCCCAATTGCAATTTAAATAATTTCTTAACAATTATCATTCCACGTGACCACTAGGTAGTAGCTAATGTTTCTACATACACGGTAATTAAAAATATTAAAATTCACCCTACCCTAAGTGAATATAGATATATATATATACATCGAGTTCAAGGCAAGCTTCTACGTCCTTAATTACTATTTACATAATTTCTTAAATTAACGGGATGTTACAACAGTAGTATCAAACTGTCAAACACCGAGAATCAATTAACGAAAAAGTTTTGTTTGGTGGTTTTGGTACCTATGTTTGAAATTATGTGGAATTTAATCTAGGGAATGACTTGAATAATTGCAACAAGCAAACTAGATTTTTGTAGAACCATATGAGTGGACGTAGTAATGAACTGATGTTTAAGTTGTACTAAGAGTGAGTGGTTCCTGTTTGATAAATTGGATACATGAAAATTTTTATTTTGGTATTGGTTTGTCAGGATAGAAATTAAATGAGGAGTCTTCGGTTTGATAAATTGAAATTATGAAAATATATTATTTGTCTTGGGTATCAGCTTGTTAAGTATAGCAATTGAGGAGAAGTATTTGAAACTGTACTTTTGATAGTATGTCAGAATTTGAGTTTATAAATTGCTTAAATTGTTTTAACCGTCTAGAATGTGAACTCCATAGTAGTGATGCTTAGTTAAAATCGGTTTGGGTGCTGTGCTTGAGAAATTATATGTGTTTCATGATCTGAATGCGTATGTTCTGTTATAGTCTATTTACTACATGAAAACTCTTTTACTTTTGTGAATCCAGTTGGGTTAATTTTCTGTTTTGAGCATTTGATTTTGGTGAATTTTATTTTATGTTGAAGGCTGGAATTAAAGTGTGGTTTTGTGTACTTGAACTATGAAAGTCTGGTCTATTTGATGGATTATGATTGGTAGCTTATTCAAATTGTAATGTGTGTAATGATTGGAAAGTTCATATCATGGTAAATAGATCCTCTGATCAATGGAGTTAATTACATCTGAGGTACCTAGGACAGCGGAAAGCTCGAGGAAGTTTCCTCATAGGGGTGTTCTGACGAACTGTATGAGAGGTACCACCTTATGTGATATGTACGAAGAGCATGTTAGAATTAATTAGCTGCATACATGACTGCTTGGTATCCTGATTTTGTTTAGTATATTGTAAAAGGATAGACTAGGTTACATTTTATTTTAGAAAATATTAGACAATAATTACAGAATAAACAAACAAGCCTAACATCTTTTGGGATCATGGCAATTAGAAGTTAGTACCTTAGAATCTCGGTATTCTTACTCGTGCCCTTAATTCGGCTTCGTTGTTAGAATTTAACTAGAGGTGCCTCCTAAACCATAAGCTCTAGACAAAAGCACTACTCATCTATGTAATTCTTTTCCGCAAGTTAGTGGCATACATTGTGTTGTACGCTTAATTGATACTATTAAATTTTTATACCTCAATAGTGATGGACTTAGATCTTTTGAAAATAGGAACATTTACTGGAATTCTGTCCGTAATGAAATTTTGTGATTTTACGAAGACCCTTCTACATTGTAAATTGGAATATGATGCGTTCTGTTTTACATACTCGTTGTTCTGTAGACTATTAACTTGTGGGATTCTACCCGTGATGTTTGTCAAGCCAGGTAATTAGTTGTGAAGTGTTTATTGAACCGAGATTTCTTTTCATATGTAAGGAGTAAGTAAGAAGTTGGCGAAAATCTAATTTGCACCACGAAAAATGCATAGATAAAATGAGTGTTTGTGAAGGTCACAGTAATTAGTCCTCTGTCTGCACGAGTAATAGGTAGGTATATTTAGTTGTGTGAAAATGGTCTTATTTGGGATTGTAAAACTTTATTAGTGTGAAGTAACCGTGTAGCCTAAATTGTTAATTCCCACCAATTTTGCATAAAAATTTAGAATCATCTTGTCGATAAAGACGTGACTTTAAGTATAGTACGCACAACAGGTGTATCAGTAAGAGTATGGCATGTTATTGATAGTGACACGCATAAGAACAAGAAACCTAAATAATAATATTAAGAGGTAATCTCAACTGTATATCGGCATGAGACCAGATACACTTCTTGTTTAGGCACTAGAATAAGATTCTTTGAGGTTTAATAAAGATCATGACAGTGGAGCCTTAGGTGGCTGTTGTTGTTTTTTTCTTTCTTTATTTTGTCAACCATCAAATACAGAATCTATATAGAAAGGAATTATTGTGCGAATAGATCTGTTTAGTTGCTAGTTAGCTATGCACTAAAATCCTGAGCTCTTCACAATTTATGGATGACTGGAGTTTCCTGATCGATTTTATTTATCTGTGTTACAGTGTGGTCTTTGGCATGTTTAAGATGAAACTCGAAAATCTGTTTGTTATGATTAAGCTTAGGAAGAATTTTATTCCCTACTAGGCAAATAAAATTTGGTTATATATATATTGTCTGATGAACATGTCAAGCATAGCTTGTTTGTAATACCCTGAATTAATTGATGAATGTTATAGATGCCAGTTGAATGTGATCTTAGGTCTTTCACTAATGTAATTATGTATTGGAAGGGTAGGATGAAGTTTGGGGACAAACTTCAAATTTGGTGGGGAGAGTGTAACATCCCGCATAATTAGGAAATTACATAACTTGCAATTAGGGGTGTGGAGCATGCTTGAAATTCGAATAAAATTTATGTTTAGAGTGGAATTAAATTAAGTTAGGAAAACTACCTTTTGGTTGCTATTATAGGCATGTATAATTGTACATTTTAAAAGATTCAAAACACTAGTTAAAAAGGGGCGGTCATACATTTAATTATCATATAGGTAGGAATCTTAATTAATTAACTTGTGGGAACATGAAATAATAATTATTAGGAAATATATTTAAAGTACAACATACAATGAAATCCTAGACAATATTTGGTGAACTACATGAAACAACATGGTTTAGATGAATTATAGGGTTCAATTCCCTCATTGGCCACGACCCAAACCTTTTAAAATAAGGGTTTAAGTCAGCCCTATATTTCTCACTTATGATCCTTGATTATCTCTAAAACAAAATCTGAACCTCACTTATGATTGGCCAAAGGGAGACACATGTACAACCTTATCTCTCCCCAAAATTGCATGCATGTAATTCTATTGGTCAATGGCAACCCTCATCACTTTATCTCTCTTTATCTCTTCTTGTGCGCCAATAGGGAGATAGCAAATTTGTTTTGGTATCATTATGATTGCAAGCATTATTCTGCCTCTTTCTTCCAATTTCTTTTGAAACCAAACTCAGCTTACTCCCCTACAAACCGTACACCCCTAAGAGTAACGCCAAGTACTTGAGGTTCATCCTTCTACTCATTCATCCTCATTAGCCGTAACCACAAGAAGAAGATCGAGGATAACAACCTGTGAACCTCCCTCATCATCATCTCCCCATCAAACCTTAAGTGCTATAAGGAGACAACAAGACACCAAGTACATTCATTCCCTCCTTTCATAATTCGGCTGATCACTATTGAGCAAGAGGTGTAGGATTTTCCCTAGTTCCATGTCCCTCCTTCATTCATCCGATTTGATGAGGATTTCCCCTTGCATGTTCATGTCTTGTTTCTGATCTAGGACTGCCATTTATTGCATGCAGATTCTGATTGGAGCTCAATACCTATTCCTCATTCCCTTTGTGCGCACTGTCAACCAAGTAGGAGAAGGTGAGATAATTTAGGAGTATTCATGTTCCTCCCACGTGGACCAGTTCTGATTGGGATTCTTTTCCCCTTGAGTGCAGTCTAAATCCACCACCTTGAAGAGTAGAAAGGTGGAAGAATTCGCATATCAATTGGCCACCGCCTTCCTTGAACGATTTGAACCTTGGGTACCTACAATTAGATGTAAGTAATTTATCAAACCCTCCCTTGTGTCTTGTTTGTTCGGCCCCACATACCTTATCTTGGCTATTCTTCCCCTAAATTCTATCATTTTGGACAACCATGGAATTTAATGCTGTAAGCTTAAATTGAAATTATGTGAATCTGGAATTAGTCTCATTTAAATCGCTGGACTGCTCTTTTGTTAGAAAAATAATGTGTAGAAGTCATATATTCACATAAGTGATCATGCCTAGGTGATGTAGGTAATTTATGTTTAAGAGAAAGAAATATAATTTATTAAGTGATAGTTATAAAACCAAATTGGTGAATATAGGAGTAATGGGATTTTTGCCAATTGATATCTATTAAGGGAATAAATTATAAGACAGAAAACTATTAACATTGAAGCATGATGACCCGGTTGAAGACTAAGATTTGAGAGATGATAAATCTGAGTTTTAAACTCCTCTTTTCTTCCCTTGTTTTGGTCACCACTTGCATGAAAGGGCAATATATAAATTGTTGTAATTTCTTCCCATGGTTCTGTTTTGGGACGCTGCTTTTATGTTAAGGAGCTGTGCATTCTTTTCATTCACTTCCTCATGTTGTATAGCCGATTAAACCATGAACCTTGATGCTGACATGTCTTAAGAATTTATGCTTGGGGTTTGGAAAATGGCTCCATCAATGGTTAGATTATTCCCTTAGACTAAGATTATGTACATAGCCCTGCATATGTTAAATTTATGTAAACAGCATTCTTAAGTCTCATTAATGTCTCCTAAAATCATGTAGGACATACTATGCAAAATGATAAAACTATAGGCACATATGGATAATGAAAACTGAACCTATGTGTATAAGGAGTTG